TGAAATTCTAGCTCTAGATACAGGCTTCTAGGCCCTGGAAGCAGTGACGGGGTCCATGGCAAGTTGGCTCTACCTACTTTACAGTCAGCCCTAGACCCAGCTTCTCATGAGGTGGTGGGTGTCTCCAGGGCAGGGGAGAGCTGGAGCCCCAGCGCAGGGGGACAAAGAGGAGGCCTGAGGACAGACCAAGGAACCACACCAAGGCCAAAAGCAGAGCTTCCTGCCAAGAGGAACAGGGCCGCTCTCAAGAGAGCTGAGGGCCCATTAATGATTCATTCATTCAACAAATATTTTCTGAGCACCTACCCACATGCCAGACATTGTGCTAAGGCCGAGGACCCAACACTGAGAAAGACAGGCAAGGTCCCTGTTCCCTAGGTGCTGACAGTCTTATGGGGGAGACAATGACCTACACAGTCAAGTCCACATGATAATTTATGTAATTAAAAAAGATTATTTAAAACAAATAAATAAAACAAGTTGTGGTGACTCTCAAGATGGCATGGTCAGAAAAGGCCTCTGAGAGGAGACTGATCAGAAGCCAGCCATGCAAAGATCTGAGCAGAAGGGCAGCCGAAACCAGTTTGGCTCAGTGGATAGAGTGTTGGCCTGCGGACTGAAAGATTCCAGGTTCGATTCCAGTCAAGGGCATGTATCTTGGTTGCGGGCATATCCCCGGTGGGGGGTGTGCAAGAGGCAGCTGATAGATGTTTCTCTCTCATTGATGTTTCTTTTTTTTTTTCTTTTTTTTTTAATATATTTTATTGATTTTTCACAGAGAGGAAGAGAGAGGGATAGAGAGTTAGAAACATCGATGAGAGAGAATCATCCATCAGCTGCCTCTTGCACACCCCCTACTGGGGATGTGCCCGCAACCAAGGTACACGCCCTTGCCCGGAATCGAACCTGGGACCCTTCAGTCCACAGGCCGATGCTCTATCCACTTGAGCCAAACCGGTCCCGGCTCATTGATGTTTCTAACACTCTATTTCTCTGATTCTCCCTTCTTCTCTATTAAAAAAATCAATAAAATATATTTTTTAAAAAATAAGGGCAGCACACAAAAACCCTGAACAAGCCCTAGCTGGTTTGGCTCAGTGAATAAAGCCTCGGCCTGTGGAATGAAGGGTCCTAGGTTCGATTCCAGTCAAGGGCACACATGCCCAGGTCATGGGCTCCATCCCCAGTGTGGGGCATGCAGTGAAGGAGGCAGCCAATCAATGATTCTCTATCATTTTTGCTGTTTCTATCTCTCTCTTCCTCTCCCTTCTCTGAATTCAATTAAGAAGATTTTATATATATATATATATATATATATATATATATATATATATATAAATATATATATACACACACACACACACACACACACACACACACACATAACAAAACAAAACAAACCCTGAGCAAAATAGGGCTGAACCTGCAGGAACGGGAAGACACCAGTAGTTCCAGCACACGACAGGGTAGGAATGAGGTCATGAAGCCGTGGAGCTGCCACGTGGGGCTTCGTGGCCACAAGGATGTGGGGCAACTGTCAGCTCACCTGGCATCAAAGCCCCGGGGCTGGGCTATCTCTCGCCACTAGAGTGAGCTGGGGCGGGGGCTTCCTCAAAAAGCCTGGGAGGTGTGATGTGCCACCACCCCATGAAAACTAGAAGCTGCTGCACCTCCAGCAGTCAGAGCCCTGTGCGCAGCCCTGTGCTGCCTCCCTGTACTTCCTCTTGGCTGAAGGAAGCGAGTCACAGGCTGGGAAGCGGACCTGGGTTCTAAGCCTGGCTTTGATAACGCTGGACCAGAGGCTTCTCTCCGGGCCCCGCAGTGCCCCGGAGGTAGCATAAGGGCTGGGCCAGATGCAGCGTTAACAAATAACTATGATTTTATGACTCAAGCATTGCTGCTGAATTTGGAGGTGGGAGGATGGGGGTGGGGCAGGATTTCCACACTGGTTACTGACTCGCCCAACCTGCTAATAAATATTCCTCTTGGTCCTTCTTTCCCAGCCCAGATGAGGCCTTGGGAGCACAGATAACCCCAAACTGGCCTCCGTGCAGCTGGGGAAATGGGACAGGGCGGGGAAGCTACAAAAAAAGAGAGGAGGGGAACATGCATGATGTTCTCATGCCATAATTTTTGGCTGGGTTAGGGAACTACCAACCACCAGTTCTGGAGTTATCCCCCAATAACCTAGCCTTAGTTTCCCTCCCCACCAAGTACCCGCTTGCAGTGATGGGGAGGGAGCTCCACCCTCACCCACACGAAGCCTGTTGCAGTCTTCAACAGCTGTTAGAAAGAATTCCTCCATGATACCAACACCTGCCCCCCTCGTCCCTCTGTTGCAGGTCTTGCTCTTTGGAGCCACACAAATCAGCTTAGAATGTTCATGGAGCTGCCACCATCTCATGCTGGGTCATGGGTCAAACCTCAGAGATATAGGCAGACATCAGAGGGCTCTCACCTGAAGATCCTCCCCCTTCTCTCCGTGTCCATCGTCCCTGTGTCCCGCCCCCCCTCCCCCTCTGCTGTCCAGGGGCAAAGGAAGAGATGCAAATGAGACCAACTCTGCAGCCTCCACCCAGAACAGTCCTTCAGACAAACAACTAGCAACATGCACCCCCTCTCCCCCATCAGACACCCACATGCCCAGGCTCCCACAGCAGCACTGCTTTCCTCTTGGTCAGGAGACCAGACACCAAGGAGTCTAGTTCAATCTCTCACCCATTGCAGGACTTCCCTTCCCGGACTCCAAGGTCTCTCCTTGAATTCGGCCACTAACAGGGTGTTCAGCAGCGGCACCTTATTTACAGAGGCAAAGCAGGCCACCAGGGAGTGTTGTCAGAGACCAGGGATGTGGAAAGCAGGTCTAATGGAGATGCCCAGATAACACCGAATTTGCTTCATCACCCTCCCCGACCCCACCCAGTCTTTCACCAAAGCCGATCCGGAGCTAAGTTGATTGGTTTGCATCTCATACCAGCCCTTGCTAGATCCCAGGATGGAATTCTTTGCAGCCAATTAAACAAAAATGTTTTTGAGATCGGATAACAGCGTGGGGAAATGCTCCTGATGGGATATGAAGCCACTTGGTCCAAACCCTTCCCTAGACGTCCTGCTAACTAACAAACTCCAGGTCCAAACCATGAGAGTCAGGGTCCCCGGTCCGGGAAGATACAGCTCCCGGCCAGCAGAGGTAAGGGAAGGGGGTATCAGGAAGGACTAGCACAGAGAGCATCCCTGGCCCATACCTGGAGGCAAATACACTTTTAAAAGCATGAATATGGATAAGTCCCGTCTTCCCTTCTTATGAGCCTTCAGAGGGCACAGTGGACAGACCAGCTTTCTTTAAAGGGGCAGTCAGGGGCTGTTGGGCCAGGTGCGTGGGGCAGCTCAGGCCGCTTGCCTCCCGAGATGGTGACAGCAGCTCAGGACTTCTCCAAGGGCAAACAGCACCCACACCAATAGGGGCAGACACAGCCACAGCCACACAGAGAACAACGGCAATGCCAGGACACGGTTACACTGTGACACAGCCATTAGAACATGACAAAGTGAATTTGAATAACAGAAGGAAATACTCATGATGGAACATCCAGAGGGAAAAAACAGGATTCAGAATTATAGCTATAACGTGCCCTCAGCTTTACACAATACATAGAAATAAAATTATAAAAATATACTAACATGGCAATAGAATGCTATCTTTGGGTAGTCAATACCAGCAATTTTTATTTTCATTCTGTGTGTGTGTGTGTATATATATATATATATATAATTTTTCCCCAAAAATTCCAGTAATTATGATGTTTTACTTTTATAATGAAGCTGGGTGGAGTAAACAATTGTGAGTTACTAAAGAATAACCCTAAGTAGGACAGGTTCAGCAGAATAAAGGCTTAGGGGGAGGGAGGGAGGGAGGGAGGGAGGGAGGTTGGATTCCAGCAAGACAGACACTCCGACCAGGACAGCTGTGAGGACTTCCCCAGGTCTCCCGGGTTTGTGTTGAATCCCATGGCCAAGGTTATTTCTTAAGGAAACCCTGGGCAAGTTTCTCCAGCGATGGGGTGGGGGAGGGTGACGTGGGAGGTGGAAGGGTGGGAGGTGGAAGGGATGCTCTTCCTTGAGAGGGGAAAAGTTCTGGAGTTTGGGCTCAGCTCTGTCCCTGATTCCTTTCCAGGGACATGGCCACACCGAAGGGCACCCGGTCCTCCCCCCCACTTTCAGAGATGCCAGGCTCGTAGTTGCTTTTGAGTGGGCCCCAGAGCCTTGCCTGGCGCGTGGGTGTTGGAGAGAGGACAGTGTGGGCACACCTGCCCCAGTCCGGCATGTTCTCTGGTGGCTGTTGTCGAGGGGATTGCAAAACCCTGGCCACGCTGCCCCATGCAGTCCATCTCTCTCCCTTGCGCTGCCTGGTGAGGGCTGAGGGGAGGGAACTGCCAGGGGCCACCAACAATGCTGGGGCTGGAGATGAGTTGTCCAGTATCACCCCTGTTTCCCAGGTGAGACAAGCAAGCTGTGGGGAAGGAAAGGGGTGTAACAGAGGTTGCAAATATTGAAATACTGATGAATGCCAGCGTGGGGAATGAATCCAGACTTGACTCCCATGCCAGGATACATGGATCAGACTAGATAACCGTTCTTCCTCCCTCACCCCAGACCTGGATGATAAGAGGGGGTTGGGGCGGCAAGCTTTCCCCCTAAGAAAAGGGGTTGGGACCTTAACCTGCACAGTGGCCAGTCCTTCCCAGCATCACCTCATTGTAAGAACACGCTCCTGCTCGCCTTAGCGCCCTTCCTCAGGGCTCTTCCTGGAGACCTCTTGCAGCTTCAGAACCCCAGGCCGAGAAAGCGCCAAAGGCCCTGCAGACCCCTCGGTGCCGGGTGACAAGCCTATCTCCCACCCAGACACTCACCCCATCCCCAAGCCCCTCTCACAGGACAGACAGCACGGACCGCCATCCGAGCTCTCCCTCCGGGCAGGCAGCCCGGGGGCCGGTGCTCACCTCGCAGGACCCCGGAGTAGGCGGCGATGAGGGTCTTCATGCTGAAGCCGGTTCAGGGAACGGCCCTGCGGGAAGCCGCTTCACCCCGCGCCCCTGGCCATGCCCCGGCCGCCGGGGCCAGGGCTTCGCGCCGCGAGCACGGGAGCCCGGGGGCCGCGCGGACGCACCGCACGAGGAGCGGGGGAGCCGGGGAGCCGGGGGAGCCCGGGCGCTGGGGCGCTGGGGGCGCGCGGCAGGCAGTCCGAGCACCAGTGGAACGCGAGGCCCCCGCCGTGGCCACTCGGGCGGCCACTGGAGCTCGGCGTTTTATAACCTCACAACCAACGGGGCGGGGCCGGGCGGGCGGGGCGGGGCCGGCGTTCCAGCCCACGCGCCCCACTGGCTGGGGGGTGGGGAGGACGAGGAGTGAGGCTGGGGCTCGGCTCCGCGGGGACCCCTGTTTTGTGCGCTTGAGGCCACAGGCGTGGGGAGCGCGGGGGTGTGGGGAGCGGAGGCCGGGGTCCTCCCTGCAGGAGGGGCGCCCGGGAATCCCTGGGGCTCCCCCTCTCCGCCCCTCGCTCTCCCCCGCGGAGGTTGGTACTGCCCGGCCAGGAGGCTGGAACGTGGGCGCAGAGGCGGGAGTCCGGCACGTGCAGGGGGCCGGCCAGGGGCGTGCCGCCAGGTGTTGTTTGGAGTCTCTTGGGCAAGGTCTTTTCTTGGCCGCAGATGCCATGGTCCCGCCTCTGGTCGGTATCAGGGATTGCTTAGGTTAGGGCTGGACTCCTGCACCACCCAGATGCCTCTACCTTTTTCCATCTCTGTGTTGAGAAACCTCACAGACTATCTGTCTGTGCATTGCTGCGTGCTGGGACCCAGCCCAGCCAGCCCGGGCCCTGCCCTTGGGAAGCTCACGGTGGTGGTGGTGGTGGTGATGGTGAGGGTGGTGGTGGTGATGATGGTGGTGGTGAGGGTGAGGGGGGTGGTGGTGAGGGTGGTGAGGGTGGTGGTGAGGGTGGTGGTGGTAGTGGTGAGGGTGGTGGTAGTGGTGAGGGTGGTGGTGATGGTGAGGGTGGTGGTGGTGAGGGTGGTGAGGGTAGTGATGGCGGTGGGTGAGGGCAGTGTTGGCTGCGCAAACATACCACTGGCAGCAGTGCTGGGGAAAGAGAGAAGAAGACCTTGTCTTGGACTGGGGACTGGGTGCGTTTCCCAGCAAAGTTAGTGCACAGAATTAGATAGACCTAGAGTCCAGTTTTGGCCCTACCTTTCTTTTCTTTTTCTTTCTTTTTTTTTTTTTAATGTTTTTAGTGATTTTTTAGCTAGAGAGGAAGGGAAGGGAGAGAGAGATGGAAATTTCCATGAGAGAAACATCGACTGGCTACCTCCTGCATTGACCTCTTCTGGGGATCTAGCCCACGACCCAGGCACCTGCCATAACCGGGAATCCCACCGGTGACCTCTTGGTGCATGAGACAATGCTCAGCCCACTGAGAACACTAGCGGGGCATGGCCCTGCCTTTTCTGAAACGCAGTTTTCGTATCTGTAAAATGATACCAAGGACAATTAGTTTGTGAGGCGTTTTGAGAACTAAACAGGATTAGGTATATAAAAAAAAAAAGCTTAACCTAGTGCCAGGCACATACAGAGTGTTCCAAAATTATTTTCATTTTATGTTGATGAATAGTTTTGTAGATGGAAGGCAGAGGACAGGCATAATAAAGTCTTAGAAAAGCCGGCATGTTTGGGGCAGGGCTAGGGCACCTGGAGTGACTGGCGCTCAGGCAGCTGTGGGGAAAGGGGCTGGGCCTGGTCTTATGAAGGCCCTCCAGTGCCCCTCGTGGGACGTTGTGGTGGGAATGGGGTTTTTGGAATGGCTTTGAGTAGAAAAATGACAGTGGTCAGATTGGATCTTAGAGGTCTCCAACCACAGTGAGAATGCATGGGAGAGGCTGGAGGCCAGGAGGGCAGTGAGGGGCTGCAGGAGGGACCCAGGCGGAAGAGAATGAGCCCAAAGCGAGGGCAGTGGTGGAGGGAAGGGAGGGAAAGGCCTGGTCTAGAGAAAAGCATAGGAGGCGGTGAGAACTATGGAACTGTGGTTAGATGACTTATTGGATATTGAGGGTGAGGGACGGGGTGGGGGCAACAAGCATGCCAGTGAAAAGGTATTTCTTGGGCACAGTACAAGAGGAGAGGAAGCCGAAACTGGTTTGGCTCAGTGGATAGAGCATCGGCCTGTGGACTGAAAGGTCCCAGGTTCGATTCCCGCCAAGGGCATGTATTTTGGTTGCAGGCACATCCCCAGTGGGGGATGTGCAAGAGGCAGCTAATCAATGTTTCTCTCTCATCGATGTTTCTAACTCTCCCTCTTCCTTTCTGTAAAAAATTAATATATATATATATATATATATATATATATATATATATATATATATTTTTTTTTTTTTTTTTTTTTTTTTTTTAAAGAAGAGAGGGAATCTCTACTGTTGAGGTCTTTACCACCTCGGGGGGAGGGATATGATAGAGGCCACAGTGCCAGGGTAGCATGTGACACATGCAGCCGATGGGACCTAAAAACACTTCTATTGTTCAACCCTCTCAAGGCCACAGGAGTGAGCCTCTTTGAGAAAACATCATTGTGCTCTGAGGCTTGAGTTGACCAAGAATAGAAGAAAAAGCATTCTAGATAGAGCATGTGTGAGGCTCTGAGGCTGAAAAGCGCTTGGTACCTTTAAGGAAACTGAGGGGAGGCTGGTGGCATACCTGGTTTGGGGGGGACATTCCGGGCTGGTATGTGCAAAAGCTGGAGGTAGGACCATGTGTGGTGTCTTTCTGGGTGAAGGAGAGTACAGCCAGGTAGATGCTGAAGAAGCCACTGAGTTCTTGCATCCTCTTCCCAAAGGTAAAGTGTTGGGGTCCTCTGGGAAGAAAGACTCCTGCTGGCCTGGAAGGACCCCAGGTCAGTGTGTGGGTGAGCCTATTCCAGAAGGGTCTCCTGTGGAGGAGGCCTTGGGCTGGAACCCCTGGCCCACCCACTCACCTGATGGTGTGGCCTAAGGGCCAGAGCTTGGGCTGGGAGGCAGGAGGCCTAGAGTATGGCCTGTTCTCTACCACTGACTTGCCAGGTGTCCTTAGGCAAGTCTCTAACCCAGCCTAGGTTTCAGTTTCTGCATCATGAAACGGCCGTGACAGTTTCTCTCTTGCTGATTTCATTGCAACATTTGAGGATCAAATGAAATCACAACATGTAAAAGGGTGTTACCACTGTGCTGTGAAAAGTAAGATGTTATCTTAAATGGCACGATTTCGGGTCTTCAACGCCTCTCTGAAACATTCAGATCCCAAGTTCATCTACGCCAGCATGTGTTTCCTGTGCACCTTCCTGGCTCTGGCTTTCCTTGGGACACAGAAGGTAATCAGACATAGTCCTAGTCTCCGAGGAGACCCAACCAAGGGATGGTGTCTCAAAGCCACTGTTTGCAGCCAGACAGCCAAGCTGTAGGGCAGGGGGCCATGGGAGGTTGTGCTGAGTTCAGCCCTTTCCTCCTGTGCTGTCACTGTCGGTCTGCTGTGTCTGCCTCTCTGTTGGGCCAGGAGCTTCCCAGAGGCAGGAACCTCATCCTGTGCCCCAGTGCAGTTTGCTCAGCACAGCGGCTCCTTCCATGGTGGAGCATCGACCATGAATGAGCACCATAGGGTCACGGACAAAGTGCTTGGGGAGCACGGAGGAGGGATGGTAAATTGGGAAGGTTACGAGGAGAGGACATTGCTGCTGGACCTGAAATGAGGACGATTCTGCCGGGCAGAGAGGAAGGAGAAGAGCGTTCAGGCAGAGCCTGGAGTTGGGAACCATGAGCACCTGGTGGGGCTGGGAGAGGAGGACTGACAGGAGTGGGATAGGAGAAGGCTGGAGAGATGGACAGGGACCACATCTGAAGGAACTCGTAATCCAGCCACGAAGCTTGGGTTTTATTCCGTGGAGTTCAAACCAAAGGAGGGGTGTGAGCAGAAGAGCATCTTGATCGGATTGGAAGGTTAGAAAGAGCAGGCAGGCTGGTAGTGTAGGTCGGGGGCAGGGCTTGGGGAATGGAATGATAAAACCTGTCCCAATTTGGGCTCTTCACACCAAAGGATGCAGAGGCAAGTCCAAGGGCTGAGAGGGGCCATCGCTTGCTTCTGGGCCACCTCACTGAATGACAGTTCCTCCTATTGGTCCCCAGCTGCCAAGATCGTGGCTGTTGCTTAAGCAGTTTGGCCCAGATTGGCTTTGGATGGGAAACCAGACCTAGAGTTAGAGCAGCCCAGAGAAGTCGTTTCTGGGCAGCTTTCTGTGTCCTGGGACTGTCCTCCTCTGTATGAGGTGAGCATGGGGGCTCACACAAGCACTGGCTTCTCCTGGTGCCCTCCCCACACATCCTACCATCCCTACATTCCTGTCTATAGTGGCCTGCCCTGCTCTTCCTGTCGGAGTGTGAACAGGACGGCTCCGGGACATAGGTCACCTCTTCTTCATCATCGCCCAACTAACCCACAGGGGCTTTGACCAAACCACAGACAAAGAAGTCAAGCTGCCAAGCGGGACCTGATCAGGAGGGTTTTACCAAGGGAAGCACGTCCCACCATACCCCCTTCAGTCACCAGTGCTGTGCTGCCATTAGGAATTGTGGGTACAGCTTTGTAGTTTATGAGGCGTTGGATGCTTGCCCCTCTGAGATCCTTTATGGTAATGTCAGCCTTAGTCCCTCCATTGCACAGATGAGGAGGGCAAGCAGAGAGGCCACTTACCCTAAGGGAGGGACAGGGTTAAATGCAGAAACATGTTTATGAAGCCCTGGTCTGTGTGATGCTAACGGGAAAAAACATTGAAACTTGTAAAGAATTTTTGTGAGTTTATTTGAGCCAAACTCAACAATTGCTGGGAAGCAGAATCTCAACAATTGGGATAATGCTCCGGAGAATGGTGGTTTCTTACCTTGTTTTTTATAAATTACCATAGAAGGAGGAGATGCAGGTGGGTTATGTGAAATCCATTGGTGATAGATGAGGGAGGTGGGAGAAAGCAAAGCAGGAAACCTCTGGGATTTGATTAAAAGGGAAATGATGGACACATGCTCCTTTTACAGAGGTGGGTACAGGATAGTTAACAGTCCACAATTAACAAGATAACAATAACTGAGGGAATTTGTGGTTTCTGCCCTGGTGCCATTTGTTGCACCCTGAGGGGTCCTGGAAAGGGAAATTACAGACATTTCACAGGTATGTTATCTTAGATGCAAAAGGACAATAGGCTCATAAAGATAGAAGTTGAT